ATGTCGACTATGCCAACTTTTAAGCCAAACATAACATTTTTTCATTCTACTCCATTGAGTTAGAGGAAAAGCCCACACACCTTAAGTCCTCCTAGGCCCTGTTCGATTTGATAATGCTCAATCCCACGTTGAGTGGAAATACATTGAGATTGAGTATTTAAGGTTTACATTCTCCACACACCTTATGTCCGCACGGATTTTATCTTTTTAGAGAAAATTCATAAGGAAATTTTCTATGAAAAAATAAATAAAATTGTGAAAGAATTTTCAGTAGTGTTTGATTTAAATTTCAGAGTGTAATAGTAGAGATTAATTAGCTATCGTTTTGATTTCTGAAATTTAAACCAATTTTTAGAATTTAAATCTGTGTAGCGTTGGATGTAACTGGATTGTTTTACATCTCTGTTCAGAGGGAATTAACAACTAGTTATTATGCCAGTTACAGGAGTTAGTAATAATATCAGGAGTTACAAATGGATGGATATTAAACTACAAATTTGGAATATTTTAAGTCCAGATTCATTTGTTTAATTCATCTGTTACAATATAGTTTAAATCCAGCAATTAAATCAGAAATAAATTTGATGCACGTTAGACCATTTTGCCCCTAACGTGAAGCCTATAAATAGAAAAGCTATTCCAGCTTCTCGATTCACATAATTCACTCTAAAACAATTCTCTCAAAAGCTCTCACAGCTACTAAGAGATTTCCGACGATCTAAAAAGCAATACCACCTGCAGTTCACTCCGGTTCCGGGTGTACAGAATTTGGAGTGACCGTATTAGTCTCGGGGGATAATACCTAATTATTTATTCATTTATATTTTTAAAAAATAGATATAAAATACATTTTTATTATTTTATTTTTGGATTCAAGTTTTCATTTATATTAACAAACATGTTTTCTAATTTAAAAAAGAAGAAAAAAAACTATTTTCTGAAAAGATAAAAAATAGAAAATATTTTCTAGAACCAAACAGATTTTTTCAATGAGAGTAAGACTACTTTGCCAAAATTTTGAGTATAATAATAGGAATATAAAAACTTATTGAAAGTTTTGAAACCATTAAACCTATTAGCCTGAAAGTATATCAATATTTTTTTATTAAGCTAAGGTGATTACAAAGTAATGTATGTTCTAGATATTCTCAACCATTTGACAATGAACATTTAATCACCTATTGCAATCACTGGTGCTCGAACATGTGACATCTATAAACAATAACAATTCTTTTAACAACTAAGGTAAATTAGTTAGTGCGTATATGAATGTTTTTGAAATATACAAAGATAATCTATTGATTATTTAGTAGAGAAACCAAAATACAATTAAAATATAAGTATATAACACAATAATTGCGGATTGCTTTTACCGATATTTTTATGTAGTTAATGGCATAAGCTCATGAGTCAAGTAGTCAAGATTTTTTCAATATGATATTAAATTTTCATGTACAATATCTACATGGTGTCATTATAATTGGGACATGACTTTTCAAAGCGCCTTTGCATAAAGTTTCTTTTTCTTTTACAATATTGGTTGCATGATGCATCCGTAACTCTCTGAGTAATTATTTTTTATTTTGATAAAATAATAGTTTAAAAAAATTAATACCATTATTAATTTTATAAGGTTGATATAATTAAATGATATGGTTTAGTTTTAAAATAGGTTTAATATTAATTAGCGTCTATCATGTAGGGATTGACTGAGGGGCGGGTTGGGTAGTCATTCCTCTGAAAATTTAAAAGTGTTATATATTTTAAATCTTTTCTATATATTTTTATTGAAAATCTATTTTTGTCCTTCCTGAATCTTAGTTCACCCTTTCTAAGTTTAAATTTATCCCCCTAATATAAAATTATGCGTCCGTCTATAGGTCCATGTATTGTAATAAAATTATCACTTCCGTCATTCTACTATTTTGTTCAAATATTTTAAGCTTTTTTATTTTTATTTTATCTATCACTTTAATCTTTCATAGTCAACCGTTAAAATTAGTACGATGGAACGAGATACTATCATGTGTTAACAGTGACAAATTCAAAAAAAAATATCATTGACTGAGCCAATATTAATATAATAAAATAAAAACTAATAGAAATATAGCTCACATATATAATCTTTCAATTTACAAATTTAATAACAACTAAAACTAGCATAACTAACTGTTCCAAAAAAACCTTTAAAATTTATGTAACAAAATACATACTCCAAAATATAAAATTTTCATCAATTAAGATGAACTCTCATTTTCATAGAACTGAACTCATCTATGATTGAGACAAAATATTGAATAATTTTAATTGAATAAAATATTATATGAGGAGTAACTTTTAAATTTTTATTATAATTTTATAGGTAATATTGAAAATTTGTTAAACAAACGGCTAATAACACTACAAGTTCATAAGTAATTAAAGAACAAAATAGAAATAAAGCATAAAAATTCAAAAAATAAAAATAAAAAACCTACGGAAGAATATCAAAAACTCAAAATTCCAGTTAAAATATTATATTACCTTCGGGCTTCAAAAAAATTCTTTAACTTTAAAAAGCACAAAATGAAAATAAATAAATAAATAAATAAGAAAGAGATATCATCATATCATATAAGTTAAAAGAAGACAACTCTTAGTTTAAGATTTTAAAGAAGTAAAATTATAGTTAAACTTAAAATTAAATAGGACTGTAGTTAATTTAATTTTGATTATATAGAATTATAATTAAAACTAAATGTAATAGAATGGTAGAATTTAATTTTTTTTCCCTCTTGGCATAGGGGGCCAAGGCCTCGGTAGGCCCAAGCCTACCTCCACCCCTGCTTATTAAAATAATATTAAAATTTTAGAAAATTTTCAATTATAAAGAATATAAAAATAAAATTATATTAAAATACAATTTTGTCATTATAGTATTATACTCGTTTTGTTAATTTTAAAAATAGTAAAAATAAAAAGTTTACTTATTTGGAGCATTTTTTTCTTTTTGGTATATTGGTCCTGTTAAATCAAATCAGGCCTTGAAACTTGAAAGTTGAAATGAATTATTGAGGTCCCAAGTCCTAAGGATTAATCAAAAGTGAAAGAGTAAATTATACCATTGATCATTCAACTATTTAGTTCTTTTATTTTTGTCATCAATTTTTTAATTTTATCAATCAGACTACTTACCGTTAACAATTGACAAAAGTACTGAGGTGACAGTTAAAGAAGTTTGTATAATTATATATTTAGTCCTCAATACTTATATATTATGTCAATTTAATCCCAATTTTAATTTAATTTACGAAATTTAATCCTTTAGTCAAATTGTGACATGTGTCACAACATGAATGAAAGATATTTTGTTTTCCACCCAATCATATGGTGACATGTGTCACCATCAAATTGGATGGAAAATTAATGGTAAAAGAGGAAATCACAAAGAGAGGGAACAATGGGGTTTAAACCTGTGAAATGTTGGTTCTCATTCTCAAATTAATGCCTAAACCATCAAAGCTAGGCACAATGCCTGGTGTTGAACTGCAACATAAAATATATAAAGTGAATATATATATATATATATATCATTAAATTTATTTTTGTAACTTACATAATATTTCATATTTATAAATTAGTTTATTTTTATTAAAATATTTATGAAATTATTTAAAAAAAATAAATTATTTGATAGAGTTAATAATAATATATATAATCATCAAAATTATTTTTTAACTTAAGTAATAATTTCAAAAATTTTATTAATAATTTCATATATATATATATATATATATATATCATTAAATATTTTTTTAACTTAAGTAACAATTCTTTTTTTAACTTTTTTTAAAAGCCAATTATATAAAGAAATAACAGTCAAATTAAGAATAGTTAACAAATAATGATGATTTATTGTATCTAAATATTGATACATGTATTTAACGTATTATCTCATATTTTAAACGTATAATATTTATTTAATAAGGATGATTTATATATATATTTGTTAATTTTATATGTTATATGTTCTACTTCAACACCGAGCAGTGCGCCTAGCTTTGGTGGTTTGGGTGTCTGCATGAGAACCAGTAATGCACAGATTCGAACCCAATCACCATATAATTGGGTAGAAAATAAAATAATTAAATTAAAAAAATATATTCCATTCATATTTTGATACGTTTCATAATCTCGTTAAAGAATTAATTTTTTAATAGAGTTAATAATACTCTTTAATAAATTTGACATGATTTGATTTTGAATATAATTAATACTTAGATGGCGAGAAGCTTCATACTAAAAAAAATAAAATATTAAAATTAGTCTCAAGGTTATTTAAAATGATTATTTTGATCCTATTTTTTATCATTTTGACTTTAATATTTCATTTTAAAATAAAAATATTCTTAACGTTTGATTGAATAATTATTTTAATCATTATTTTGAAGCATTAATTATTTGTTAATTAAAGATTTTCATCTATATAGGAGTCTTTTGATCCTAAGATTAAAATAACTTTTTTAATAAATGATATTTTAGAGAAAAGAAAAGGGTGAAAGAAGTCGTCATCTGCCTTCAATCATGTTCGAAACGTCATTTTGATGTTGTCATCAAAACGGTGAATGATCTTCCTTTTATCACTTACCAATGCAACACCAGTCCACGCAAATTCCTTCAACATTCCCACCCCTTTCCTCACAATTTCTTACATCTCAACCACCTTCTTTCTTTTTTTAAAAGGCTGCTTACAATCTTATCTCTTATTGCCCCACATGCATCTACACACATACACATCTATATACACACACACAATCAAACTAAGAGTAAATCAACAAAATAAAAGTGGGTTTTAACTCTTTTGTTTTTTTTGTTTTAGCTTATAGACAAACATGAGCAAAACAGATGCCTGTTTAATTCAGGGTAGATGAGTGTTAATTCTAAAATCTAAATTTTCTTCTGTCAGTTATATATTCTGCTGGTGGTGCTTTCACGTACAAATTATAATCAAAATCAAAAGGTGATTAAAGATATCAATGAGTATACCTACCCTTAAAAATAATTTTGGATCCGTCACTGCATGTTGTGATCAAACACCGGCGAGCAACAAAAGAAGGGTGATACGAGAGCTTGTCGAAGGGCAACACTGTGCTGCTGAGCTTCAAGCTATTGTGGATCAAAACTACTCTCAAATAGGCGCATCAGCTGAGGAACTTGTGCACAAGATCTTGAGATCTTTTGATCAAACGATTTCGATGCTAATCGTCGACGGCGAGGTTTCTCAGAACTGGGATGGTTGCAGGTCTCAAGATTCTAGTCAGAGCAGCAAGGTACCTGCTGCGGTTTCCAAGGATGGGGGGAGAGGCTGTTACAAGAGAAAGTAAGCTTCTTTTATGGTCAAATTGTGATTTTGGTACTTTTATTATATTTAAGTTTCGGATGTTGTCCTTATATTTGATTTGGGGTAAAGTACACAAATGGTCCTAAACTAAGCTAAAATGATATTTTTATCACTGGAGTTTAAAAGTTACAAAATGATTAAATTTATCAAATTGTTACAAAATGCTCACTGCATGTTTTAAAATAATAATAAATTTGGATAAGGGTCATTTTGTAACAGTTTGATATGTTTTCATGGCTATTTTGTAATAATTTGATAAAGTTCAATGACCTTTTTTGTAAAAACTTGATAAATTTATAGACCATTTAATAATTTTTGAAACTCCAGTTGTAAAAAATGATTTTTAATGAACCTAATAATCATTTTTGTGCTCTACCCCTTAATTTAACATAATTTTATTGCCCTTTATGATGTCAGTAGTTAGTACAATAAATCACTTGGGGGTAAACAATTTCTTACAGATAGTCCTTTCGGCGTGTCACGTGAAAATAGTTAAAGATATCAACTATTTGGACTAACTAATGACATCATAAAAGCAAGTGGATCAGATTATGTTAAATTAAAGTACAGAGATTTGATCTTAAATTTGATATAATAGAGGGACTACAACTGTAATTTGACCATTCATCTCCTCTACAGCCAAAGTAAATTATTGAATGCTCTTGCATAGATTTCTGGTAACAATTGGATGTTTTTGTTTGTAGGAGGGGTGTTGAGACATGGACAATTGTTTCTGATAAAATGGAAGATGGTCATGCATGGAGGAAATATGGACAAAAAACCATCCTTAATTGCAAACATCCAAGGTATCCTAAAAAATGAAATATGGTGTTTTTGGATTTGGTCTCTAAATCTAAAATTTTGATTATTTTAACGAGTGAAACTACACGAGGAAAAATAGTTTGAATCTAGATATTTAAACCGAAAATAATGATTTACTATGTTTATCGTTAACAGAAGTTACTTCAAATGCACGCATAAATCCGACCAAGGTTGTAGGGCTATGAAACAAGTCCAACGAACGGAGGATGATTCCCAAATGTATCACATCACTTATATCGGCACCCACACATGCATAGATTCATCCCCTCGCGGTACGATCCCTTCGAGCAACTCCGGAATTCCGTTCGAGAAACATCATTCGAACACATTCAATAATTCGAGCTTGGCATTAAAGTTCGAATACGAGAAAGGGATGACGCCGAGCTATGTAACGGGGTTGGATTCTATGACCGAGTGGGAGGATGTAATACTAGGTGGTTTTGGATGTGGGTACGGAGATTCGGTTTCTAACAATGAAACAAGTTGTCTGAATTTGGAACTTGGATGGCTTGACCATGGTTTTGAATTTGATGGTGGTGAGTTTGTGTAGTAAACTCTTAGCTTATTGTAAGGTTAATATTGTCTATGGAGGGTTTTTATTCGAGATTTTTTATTTATATATTTGAATAATTAAAATTCTATTGTAATAATCGATTATTGTTAGTACTTTTTTTTTATCAAAATATGTCGACAATACATAATATTTATATAAGAAGTCAAAATCTGATTGAATAGTATTATTTGATCGGGGTGCTTATGGACCTTAGCTAGGGCTGCCAACAGGATGAACGTTTTGCCCATGGGGCTATGCATGTGATCATGCATGTAACCCCTAAGCCATGCATGGGAGCTCCATATCCCCAATATCCAAAAGCTCATTTTCATTCGATATGGGTTATTAACTGATAATCAAACTAAAATCTGCATCGCATATTTAAAGAAACAAAAGAGTTATTAACTGTTAGTGTTTGTTTAAAATCACCCTAAAAGCCTAATTTATGATGAACAAAGTCCATCATCATTGGTTATGTCCCTCCAGATTACCCAACAAAGGTAAACAAAACTGTGTACAAATTTTCGACACAGCAGACGACGGTACAAATCTCATACGTCAATCGACCAGCGGATGCAGTCTCCGTTGAACGTTTTGTTCACGTAGATAGTAAAGGAGGGAAGTCTTTATTGTCTAGCAGCTTGAAAGATTCACTGCAGTATACCAGTTTAGCAGTTAGCAAAGGGAAAATGAAAATCGATGATTGCCTCGAATTTTCTACGGTGTGTTTACCTTTTAAGCTCGCAAAGCTCCTTTTGCTCCTGCTTTTCGATCAAAAGCATGCATAACATGGGTTTTGTTTGCAGAGGTGGCGGTGAATGCATACCTGTTGAGGATGGACACTCGTAAACACCAAATTTAATGACCGGTAAGCATTGGGAGCCATTCTCAGGTTCGGGACTCTTCAATGCGGGCAGACTAGGTTGACAGCTTTTCGTGTCCCTTTTGGTCGATGGAAGAAGAGGGAATTGTTCTGTTGAAAGGTCAAGATCATGACAGTTCCCATTTCCACAGTCATTTTCAACAGAGTCAGTTTCTTTCGGGGAGTTCTGCAATGAACAGGGAGCAGAAGACTCACGATTCCGAGTGCCTATACATGCCTGCTTCTCTCTCTGCGGCAGATGGGTCTGCAATAAATGTTCGGCGAATATTAGTTTCAGTTGGGGCCATTAATTTAATAGTAAACGAGCAGATCTGGTGTTGAAACTACTACCATGTCGGGGATGTAAGTGCCGGTTCCTCTGAACTTTGTCATGTTGTCCATACCATACGTAGAAGCTGTTAACCGGAGAGCAGTAGGATGAGAGAACGGTAGTCTCGGGATAAAAACATTCGTCCCCTTACGATTAAAGTTGTTACGTTTGCACCTAACAAGCCGTCGTAGGGCATCCCATGCACTGTGCTTTTGTGACTGAGAAGATGATGATGATGATACGGTGGTTGTTGGCTGCAGAGGAACATTCACTGCATAGTAATGATACCATTGACTATATAGTAGACCGTTACAGTAACCGTCACAGTCACCACTCAGATCAGAAACTTCGGATTTGCCGCTGCCAAAGGCATGCACCGGAATTCGTACATCCGGCCTCTGTCCTCTTCCATTCCGATCCAAAGTATTAACAAAGAACTTTTCGAGTCCCATACCCATGTTTTCACCAGGCAGCATCAGGATTTCACCGAGCCTTTGTGCCCCATAGGTAAGAGCACATCGAATTCGGTGGAAATTACCTGCAGGGGATTACACATGTTTTCTTAATATTTTTTCTATTAAAAGACTGTCAAGTTCCGGTCGTTTTTCGAAATAAAGCATTATACCTTTGCTAACGCTTCGGCCTAGGTTGTTGTTTACTTTCAACGGGTCCACAATGTTCATGTACTTGACAGGAAAACCATTGGCCCCGATCTCAAGAGATTGCGTTGGCACGAAATACGTTTCTCTGCAATAACTCAAAAAGTCCCGACTAAGCAGAAGTTCGTCCACATCGGTTTCAGGAATCTCAGCTGCAAAATTATATCAATGTTAAACAAAAACTGAACTGATTAGATTTACACGAACTGAGAAGAATGCACTACTTACCAAAAACTGCTGTAAGGGAGGATATGGAAACTGGACCAGTTATAGTGATGCAGTAATTTGCCCAATCAAATGAGCTATAGTAGTCTAAAAACTTGTAAAGGACCTGTAAACAAAACATAAAAGGTCTCATTGTCCGAATTCCAGCAGATGATAAGGGAAAATGCTAGGCGGGAATAACTTACCGCAAGTGGGCCGCATAATGACAAATGGAAGACGTTAATGATATACAAGATCATTATTTCTAATGCATATGTAGAAATCAAGCCATGGTGTGCACCGAGAGTTCGGCTCTCATAATAGCACCAGGACTTGATCAAGATGATACTGCGTTTGAAAAGATGATCTTTTCCGATAAGTTGGTCAACCTGAAAATGAAACAGTTAAAAAGAAGTCACATGTGAAATAAACATGACGCCCTCGACATTGCTACGGAATTTACTCGAGGCTGAAGAAAAGGGAAGACAAATTCAAGCAACAATGTGAGAAACAAGTAAAATAGAGGATTTTAGATGAAATATGATACCTTCTCAAGAAAGCATAGTGCGGATAGACCAGCCATTTGATTGAAAGAGATGTCCACGGGTATATCATTCACGGTACATTTCACTATCTTAACCTGCCACATAAAATTCCAACAAAAAATCAGAAAGCAACACCAGATGATTTGGGCTCTTTTCGCCACAGCAAGTATCGATATTAATATGCTATAAACGCCATATCATTATCTTAGTAAGATAATTTTTTCTATCGGCGTAGTAGCAACAAAAGTGTTCAGTGTCATGCATATGCATGAATCAAATGTTATGTAGTTTTATCCCACATAAGTTCATACACATAAAAGGATATGAAGCTCCTACCTGTAAGTTCTAGGTACATAAAGTAAAAAACACTACCTGAGTTTAGATGCATGGCATGGGATGGTCTCTTGTTTAATTACTAATCTATGATGAACAACCCTACATATATCGGGGTTCATTTTCTCATGAAACCCTATATGTTGAGTCTGGAAAGCAATGAAAACTTGTGATGCAAACTTAACACCCAAGGGGCAGCAATGAAAAAAGTTTCAAATTCGAGAAAAAAGCAGATTACCAGAGAGGAAGTAAACTAAATCTTCATTTGAACTATAAGACGTCACCAAAAAGGAAAAATAATAGTAATGCAGATAGAATCAATAAGGAAGAACTAAACCTGAGCACGTATATATTGAACATCTTGTACTACAAAATCAGAGTTATGCTGGTTATCTTGTAAGATATTACAGATATATGTTGCCAAATTTTCCTCCATATTTTGATGACTAAGAGCAGTCAAATCGATATCTCCGTCGGGAAGGAAGGTTTTCAAGGGAACTGAGCCAAATGGGAACACCTGAAAAGCGAGTGGGAAGGTAAAAGAACTGCACTAGAATGAAAGAATGTAAATATATAACAAACTATTATTTGATCTTCTCCAATAATCATTATCCTTTGAATCTGTAAAAACTTGTGATAAATTAAGTACAGTCAAAAACATATATGCACTAAGACATAGCTCAATCTATCAAAAGCGCGGCTTATCTTTCTTTCTGTCATATCTTTAGTGCGACTTATATACCGTTGACAAGGTTGTAAACAAAAACTTATACATCTTTTTTTTGTTCTTTACTGCAAGTTTACTTCCCCAAAAGCAAGAGATATTAAAAGGACAGCCTATCAGATTCGAGAACCGATGCCAAATTGCATTAAAACTTAAGGACATGATTAGCTATATGACTAGATCAAATCGGAAACGCCCACACTTGAATCAGAAGCTATGCAAGCTACCTTTCTCTCAAAAAGGAATCAATCACCAAGCTATGCCTGACCATCCCTAGTAGACCATAAAAATACATGCTAAAGTGCATTAAGAAGATACTCAAATCTAACTCAAAAAGACTTAAAACAAAATCGATCTTAATTCATCACACTTCTAATCAATAACTGAAATTTGGGGTTTCAGTTTTAGTCTAGAACAGCACCAAACAAGGGATTTTAGTCATATACAAAGCAAAATTTACACATAAAATGGTTTCAAAGCCAAAGATAACTCCAATCCTGCTAAACTTTAAAAGGGATACATCATATACCAAGCAACAAACATAGGTAATAAAATCCTTCAAGTGACATATCAAATTAGAAAATTTTCTCAAGATTTCAAACAGGCGTTTGGAAAACAAGAACCAACAATTGCCAGAACTTGTCCATTTTTACTAAGGTTCAAAATCTGGGAAAATTGAGTTTACCTCACAGCCATAGTAGCCTTTGATTAGCCTCTGAAAGTAAGCAATGATACTTTTTCGATTTTCCTCAGAAACCAAAGCTGGTTGAATGATACAAAGAATCTCCTGGGCTCTTTCCTCAGCCAAAATCCAGAGTTCATCATCAATTGACAATGGATGAGGGTTGTTTGATGAAGAAGAGGAAGAAGAAGACAAAGATAGAGAAGAAGAAGAAGGTGATGATGGATGAGGAATAGGGGATGAAGATGAAGTAGATGACAGAGACAAAGAAGAAGACGGTGACAAACACTCCTGAAAACAATCCATTCTCAAAATAATGAAATCAACTTTCTCTCAAAACAACATGAAAACATCCACCATTGGAACCAACATCTGCAAATCGTTGCAATTAGATAGAAGAATGAAAAATTGTCATTAAGAAAGACATGTTCTTTCCGTTTAAATGAACAAAAAGGGGCATTAAGAAGTGTTGACAAAGCAGAGCAGCACCATGTGCTAAGATGAAAAAGGAAGAGGAAAAAAAAAACAGCATCAGTTGTGTTTGAAACATATGTTGCAAAGCGGTTTTGACATCTAGTGTGACCACACCCTGAAAACCTCTTTTGTCCTCTTCATAAAGCACTCTGGTAAGCACAAAAGGGGTTATATAAAAAATCAAAACTTGAGGTGTAACTGCAATTTCATGCATAATGTTTGGACCAGTTTGGCAATATGAAAATATTCTACCTTTTGCGTAAAATAAGACATTGGAGAAAACTACGGAAATTTATCCACTACACAATCAAAGTTCTTAAATTTCAAATTGAAGTTGGTAAATTGACATATACACATATATAAAACACTATAATGTAAGTATTCTCAGCCTTTGTTTGGGGTTTTAGTCCTCTCTCTCTGAGTGATCCTACGGGAATTTTTTTTATCCGAACATGGATATAAAGATCCGATCTTTTCCATACATTCTATAAAAACTTAAAAAAAACATATCCTTGTCCAATACTCGAATTTAAGTCAGAGTAATTAAAGAAAAATTGTTACAATATTTTCATCAAAGCTAGTGAATTGATGCATGTCCTCATTAGGGATGTGCTTAGACAAATTAACAAAATCAAAATATTACATGAACATATGACAAATTCAAAAATTAAATAATTGGAAAGTCAACAAAACTAGGTTATTTCACAAAAGAGAAAGTTTGGTCAATACTCTTCAAATATGGAAATAAATAGCAAAAAATCTCACCATTAAAGGATGCTCCAAAAAAGGGATTAGTAGTAAAGAAAAAACTAGGGGTAGAACAAATGGTAAATACAGCTAGCAGTTTATGGCACAGTTATTGTTCAATGGAAAGGGTCAGAAACCATATGAATTTGTCCAAATTGCAGATTTTATCTAGGTAAAATTGTATTTTCTTCATTAATTAGGCCAAAACAGGTAGAAAGGTCATAATAGGGATCAAAGTAATAGCCAGTATTATTTAAAAAAAATTAAATTCTTGACTATTCTTCATTTTAGCCCCTAGTTGTATAATTAAGTCAAACACAACGGTTATCTAGACTATAAGGGTGGACTAGTATACCCTCTTTTTATTACCAAATATCACCATGGACTCCATTGATTTCCATGGGATTCTGTGCTTTATTATCCTGACTAGTAATCACATTATTGGTCTTATTTGTGCAAACTTATGGAAAATATATTCCCAAATCTCAAAATATTTCTCAAATTCATAACTTCCAAAAAAAATTTAATATGTCTTGTAAGACTATTCAAAAATAAAAGAGAGTTGCATCTGTAAAATGTGTGTACATTGTCAGTGGTATACAAAATGGACTATGCCTAAACACACACGTTGAATGCAAGTATTCGCTATCCCTTTATACTACATCATTCACATAAATATGATACGATTCTGATTTCAAATCTATTAAATGTAGCCTCTTAAAAGTAACACTAAGAATCGATTGATCTAAGTTCCGGGACCGAAAATGCATGTTATTTCCTTATTCGGTCTCTTACGTTTCCACATCCCTACTCGCATACTATATGTACTAAATCTATCCTAATACCAATTCCATGAGCAAAACATTGAATCATTCGTCATACACCATAAGCAATCAAAACAATGGTGAAACTGCAAATGACACAAAATCAAAAACAAGGGGACATCTTTTTGTTTGAGCTGAAGGGTATGTAAATGTGATACCAGAGTGCATCTTCCACCTAATTAATACTTTGAGACAAAACATCAAGTTCCTGTTTTGACAGCAATCTAAAAAGACAAGTCTTAAAGGCGATAATCATTACCTCAAGAAAGTTACGAAATTGGTTATTGCTTTCTTTTCGTCTGGTTTGTTTCATGGGGCACTGCTTAAACACAGTTTCTCCGTTTACTGCACTGGACCCAGGCAAGAAGAAGAAGAACAGCAACAAAAGGATCATCTTCGATTCTTTGTCTCAAGCTAAAGACAAAAACACAGATGACGATGATGATGCCAGTGCTACAATCAATCTATCTATCTATGAAAAAACAGAAAATCCTAACCCTTTCTAAAAACAGAAATGGAAATGAACAAACACCTAACATTCCCCCTATATTGGGAGGGTGATGACATGGCATTCTCCCATGGGAACGAATGAAAGTAACTTACACGTGTGTTCCACACGTAAGTAAACAGTAGAACCCAGGTAAGAATCATTGAAGCCCAACATTGTTTTCCTGCATCAACGACCTTTTGTTTAAAGGGTAAAAACTTACACCTTTTTAAGTGAAGTTTCGAATTCTAAACTTGTAAATGTAGAAACTAATAGTAAGAAGAGATTTCTTTTTATTCGGGTTCGATTCGATTTGGCTGCAAATTAATTTGATCTTAATGTAATTATCAGATATCGAAACTTAACATAGCTACCGGAAACCGAAAGTCTTAAAAGAAAAGAAAATAAAGTTGGTACTAAGGTTAGGCTACGGCCTAGTGCTTAGACACGCAAGAGCATTAAGCAGGATGATGATCTGTTAAATTGGTTCACTGAAAATTTTCTATAATGATTGTAGGAAATGAAATGTTTTTTCCGCCAAAAACCAGCAGTCAGGTTATGCTGCAACAGACAGTCTCCAATGCAGTCAAGGCAGACTTCCATGGGAGGAGGATTCATTGGATTTCCGAAACAAACATTTATCAGTACTGAAGTCCGATACCAATGCCAGCAACAGTCAAATTTGAGATGAACCGTATATTGTTTGTAGCATTTTGTTTATTACATCTTAATCGGTAAGTGATGTTTTAAGAACAAGTCAGAAGCAAGTTTGAAGAAACGGAAGCAACTGAATAGAAAATTACCAGATTCCAACTAGTTTTCTCAACAATTTATAGCTTAACAAGTTTTTAACCAATCAAAGCCTTCCTACACAACTCCAAGTCTACATGCTCAAGTACACATTTTAAAGCAAAACACAGAATAGAAATCCATCCAAAACTTGAAGGGCCTTAAGCACGAGGAACCGCAACACCCGGACGAGGGGCCTGACCAGGCTGCCCAGGCTTTGGCTGATCATCCTGGTAAAATAAATATCATATATGATTCATTAAGCAATTGAATGGAAAGTAAGTATTTGAGAAACAATAAACACAAACAAAAAAAAGCAAACCTCCAAGAAACCCACAGTCAAAGGAATAATAACATCCAAATAAACCATTTTCCTTCTTAAAATGATCAGCAAACCACACAAAAAGGCAACTGACAAAGTGAGATGGATATTACAAATAAGGAACAAAGCGCTTAAAATTTCAGCTGCAGACATAATATGTGGTCCCTAGAAAAAGGACTCTAGGTTTCAGGTGTAACTAAATTCTACTCTATGGATGACCTCCACATCACTTACAATTTCTAAGCATATTCCACCCATAATGATCAATAAGCCACCAAAAAAAGCAACGAACACATTTATATGGTAGTTCGACATGTGGGACTTGTTCATCTTTCAAGCACTACAAAATAAACTGGCGAATTGGCAAGCATATGTTCCTAATGAATTGCATCCCGTAAAGTAAAATAAGTATAGAGAATTGTTCAAATGATGGTGCCTCAGAGCACAACAAGCAAAATGTTCCCAGTACTACCGTGCCTATGAAGGACTCCCATATATCAGTTTTATTAGATTCAAGGCATTTTCATTCCCATAATGATGAAAACAAGCCACCAAAAGGGGGCAACTAAAAATGTGATTCAGATAGCTATTTGGAACTAATTCATCGATAAAACTGAAAACTTCTGCCCATGGAGCAAACCTGAAGAATTGCCAAAGTACCCTTCTATCATTCTATACAGCATAGGTCAATAAATCTACAAAGGATTTCAATAATTCAAATTCCATCTATAGCCCTACACTAAATGTTAACAAAACATACCTTTAAATGAGACATTTTCAAAGCTTTTATCATCCAATACAAGGAAATGATAAACAATCAAAGCAAGCTAGAGGAACTATTAATCACAACAAATAGATCCCTGACGGTGACAAGCATCAAACCATATGTTATAAAAGGTCATACCCTGCGTCTGACGAAACGCTGGGGTGGATCACGGTTCCTCCTGTCAGTGCGGGATCGAACCCTAACAACATGAGAGTGAATGGCACACGAAACACAGTATTGCATCTTCACATACAGCTTCGGCAGGGTGTAGGCTACATAAAAACAATCAATCAATCATCAAACAGTAAATTAAAGCATATGCAATAGTATTAGAAACTAAATTAAGCATATAATTGAGAAATTAAATGGAAATTACAGTCGTAAACGCAGGCTTCCTGGACATCTCTGACAGCAGCTTGCTCCACAATGTTCCTCACAAGAAACCTCTTGATTGATTTATCCTATTACATTCCAATATATATATATATATCAATAGAAACAAAAATGTAGAAAAAACCCAGAGATCCAGATGCGAAAATTAGGTGTTAACTACCTTGGGACAGCATTTTCCACAATTAGAGCAGCGGATAAACTTGACATGGCCACGGCCATGCTTGTTGCGACCACCATTCCTACGCTTCAAAGTCTAACAAAAAAATATATCAAAAATAGCCCCAATCAGAGAGATCAATTTTTTGAAAAAAAAATATAAAGTATTGACGAAGTTACAAATGCAGAAAAATACAGATGAAAAAAAATCTAACCATTGTTTGAGATTTAAGTGAAGGCTCTCTGCTTCTGCCGGCTGCCGAAAGTTAGGTTTTTTTGACAAAAATGATGTCTTTATAGGCGAATATAATGATGAAGCTTGAAACATAGGTGACGTTTGGTTGGATGAAATCTCTTGGGTTTAGGAAAATTAGAATTCAATTCTACTACTTTATCATGTTTGGTTCAAGTTTTCCAAGAGAATTGGAATCCCTCATGGTTTCAACTCTCCATCAAATGAGGGAAATTGAATTCAATTCCCT